CCCAAATTCTGAAACCTGTGCCCAAAAGACCCATCCATTTCGCTCCACCCACCGCATTCGAGTGTAGTTGGTTGAACTATGGTTAACAATAGTCCTCACTCGAACTTGTCCATGTATGTGACATGTTGTCAATATTTTCAATACTTTTCTTGTAGGAGTGTCCAGATGGCTCCAGAGTACAAGCAGAAACTAACCCAGTTGATGGACTACAAGCAGTGAGGATTTAATACCCAAGCTCCCTGGTGGAAGCTTCTCTCAAAGATCAACACTTGCCACCAAAATATTGCAATATTCCCATCGGAGATTATGTGACCAACATACGTGATACAACTTTCATTAGAACACTGGAATCACTAAAGTTATAGATGCAACAAATATGTAAAAGGTCTGTATGGACTCTGTTCATGAACATAGGGGGCGCTTTATGACCACTGTTGAGAGCCCCAGTGGGAGTAGTCTTGGTGCCAGACGTTTGCCAAACTCTCCCTTTGTAACCAATGAGGGGGTACTTGCGTGAGTAGTCCATACTGTAATTTTCCCCATTGTAAGCATGGTCAAGGTGGCATTGGAATCATGGGTCACCAAAATTAATAGATGTAAAAAAAAAATGTTATAGGGCTGTATGACTTGTACATGCACATATTTTTTTGGGAGGATGTTGTTTGAAATGTGATGGTACAGCCCAGCTACTATAACAAAAAGCCTAGAGAGTTTAGGTTAAGTTATTTGTGGGCAAGTTTCTATTTTCACTGTTACAGTGCCTTGTTTTCTTTATTGTGTGTGTTTCATTTATGTTTCATTCGAGTCAAAGACCAGTGAATGATGTTAGCTACAGCAAAGTGAGTGCAGAAGCATATTCAGGTTTTGGTGGGGGATTGGGGTTGGGGGAAAATGGATAATTTTCTAGAAAAGAAGAAACTGGCCAGATGTCTTGGTTTTTCTAAAGTAAAAATTGTTCTGGGATTACTTCTAATACTGGTTGCGAAGTCTGGGATACCCTAGTGACATTAAAATGATGTCAAATGTCGGGGGGGGGGGGGGGGGGGGGTGGGGGAGGGGTAAGTTGCCTCAGTGGTAATGTAATGGATTCCTTGCGTCTTTAACCCTAACTCCCTAGGGGGTGTGCAAAATTATATTGAAATTGGAGAATTCAGGACTGTTTAGGGCTATAGTCAGAAATGCGGACATATCTTAGTTCCTCTGCGATTTGAATCATTTGAAGCTTTCATTGTCACTGAATAGCAAGCTGTCACTACAAGATGAAACGAAAAGAAAGGGACCAAATTAGACAAAAAATTTGTTTAATATATGTGGATCATGCCATTTATAAAAATACAGGAATAAAGGAAATGTTATTGACTTTTAAATGTGAACATTTCATGTTATTTGCATACTCTGTGCGTTCTTTCAGAAAAACAAAAACAATTTTGTTTTGCTGAAAGAGCACTTACCTTTCTGTGATCCGTGGACTGAACTTTAAAACGGTGGTTCTGTTTTAAATTCCGTAACTTGAAATTTACAAGAGTGATTTGAATGATTCTTGTACTAAAAAAAACTTATGAATTAGGCTTTCATATGCTAGATTTTGAAAGTCCTAGATTTTGAACAATGGTCCCAACATTTGGGTTTCCTTTTTTTTTACTCGCCATAGATGGGAATTCCTCATTTGTGATTTCCAGTAAAATCATTCGGGTTGGAGGATTTTTTGCTGAATTTCCATATTAAAGGTGCTCTCCCGCGTGCTATTTTTGAGTTTCACCCCCAAAATGTTGATGTTGTGGTATGTTGCTATTTCTTTAAATAGCAAAGGTATTCACTTTTGAATAAGGCATAAAACAAAACAAATGGTAGGTTCGCCTATAATTTTGATATTTATGGGTAAATTAGTTTACAAAATCGAATTATTTGCGGCCCAAAAATATTCAGACGTATCATAAGCAATCGAAAGCAACAACATAGTTTCAAAGGGATGAAAACGTCCAAAAGAGAAGACAGAACTTTTTTACCTTTATTACATAATACATTTATGGTAAATTAGAGGAAAAAATGAATACATTGTATGTTCAAAGACATCGAGAGCATTGTTATTGGACTTTTTGTTACTACAGCATTGATCCATTGTGATCACAGTACGGTAATGATCGGTGTTATACCGTTTAGTACCATTTGTTAATGATGTACATCTGATTATTTTTGTAATATAATTAGTTTCAGCAATTAAAATATTTTGTTGAAGTTTTGTAAAGTACAAGTTAAAGTTTTACTTTTCTTTTCGTTGTAAAGCCTTTTTCCTCTTTAACAAAAGTCGTTTTTTCCCCTGATGAATTGTCAACTTGTTTTGTTTTTTTAAAGAAGTTTTTAAAAAAAAACACCTAAAATTTGGGGGTCTGTAACCTCTAAAAAAGAGACATCGTTTGAGTTCCTTCTGATACAATTCTCCGGCTCCCTGCAAACAAGCTGGTTCCCGGTAGCGGCGGTACCTATACATTTTCGATGCTGATATAGTAGGCCTTCCATCGCGTGAAGAACTGATAATACTACCTAAGACATAATGACGTCACCTTTTGTTTACACACGCGCTTTCCTATGGGAGACAGGTGAGGACGATTGGCTGGCGTACGGTAAACAAAGCGTGACGTCATTATGTCTTTAGTCGCCGCACGGTTACAGGTACTTTGAATTTTGTAAATCCATGACCAAACATGGGGCGATTGCTTTTCGTTTGATGTGGGCAGTCATTCAAACGCGAATTTCAATACTGGAATTTGTATCCTTGTGGAGACATTTCTTTGTTCTCGTGTAGTAATGTTTTCGAGTTTAAAAGTGTAGTTTCAAAAGGCTCTTATTTTAACCAGAATTAATTTCCTTGGCTGAAGTTCTGACTTCATATCCCTTTTCTAAAACCCCTCCCATTTGCGACAGATCAACATACTTTGGAAATTCCTAGTTTTTGAGTTAAAGTCCAAATATCTATTTCGTGATAACCTTGTGGAGACACGTGTATTGTGTATTCATATATAGAAATTGCCCGTGGAGACGTATACAATCTGTTGTTCCCTATTGTGTGCATGTCTCCAGAGGGCACGGTGTATCAGATCTACTTTTGTATTTCTTGAAAAAAGAAAGGAAATTAACAAATAAAATCTATATTTCGGGATCAAAATCGATAATAGCTACAACAGTTTCAATTTGTGCGTTTAATTTGCAACCAACTGCAGATGAAAAAAAAATACTGTAATTTATTGCAAACAATTCCTATCGGCACTGCGCGTATAGAAACTGAATCGAGGCGCCGGGGAATTAACCAATCCAAAAATATTCCATTTTGTCATTTCTTTTGTTCATTAATTAATAACCGTTTTTCCAAGTTGCCGATAAAAACGTTTGGGGCGGATTCAAACCCTAACTTTCTATAGAGCATATATAGTTTCTAGGTTAAAGAAATAATCTAAGTTGAATGTTTTTTCCCTATATTGGACTCTAAAATTGACCAAGTGCCCACATGAACTTGACTTTAGATTTCATCAGGTCGCGTTCATGCAAATAAATATGCCTAAATTGTCCAAGTAACTTTTAAAGTTGCTCTACCGAAGAGTCTATTTCTCCTTAAAAAATGGCACCCTTGCCTCGTGCGTTCATTGCCCGCAATTAGGCCTAGGGCCTATATTGTTCGCTTTTTGAGAGAATGATTTGTTTAATGACCTATTTTTTGTTAATCATACGATGGGTAACTTTTACCTGTTATGCCTTTCGCGCATTTTGTTCGTTTGCAACTAGCATCCAAAGAAGAACGTTCCCGAACCCAACCTGTTAAAATTTTAGCTCAGTGCGGATATTAAGCCTATTGTCCAACCTTTTCGTTTGTAACAAAAAATTGGTCATTAAACAAATCGTTCTCTCAAAAAGCGAACTTTCGATGACGCAGACTCGGACGCGATTTCGTGCAACACTATCCCTAATGATTAGGCTCATCTCTGAGCGTCGTTACTGGGTGAGTCAAAAAAAGCGGAACCCACCTCCCCCCCCCCAAAAAAAATACTGAAATTGCTCAATCTGTTCAAAGAATATCACCATTTAAACGCAATGACCCTAAAACATGTCTCGTCCAAAAAAGGCAATTTATTGTGTGTTTTGACAGTTTGGCACAACAAACAAAATGACACAGAATACTGACACAGTTTCAAGAATTGTTACCAACTGTAGTACACAACCTGGCTAAGCAAAAACATGTGATTTATAAAATCCACTTTTCAAGAAGACGGGCCATCAAACGGACTTTGTTGCACATTGTTAACGTTTAAACTGAGATTTTATCACTTGTAATGTTTGAAGACAATTGTGACGACGATTCTTGGAATCGTATTTTTTGGACGAGACAGGTTTTATGGTCATTGTGTTTAACTGGTATATTCTTTGAACGGATTGACCAATTTCAATTTTTTTTGTCTAAAAGTTGCTTATGAAATTGGCTTTCCATTCATTATTATTTTATGGTGCGACATAGTTTTTAAATATGAAATATAATTTTTGGGGTCTGGGCAGTCCACTTTTTTTTTTAACTCGCCCTATTACCAACATCGGCTAGCCAGACAGACGTTTTCAAGGGGTGCTCACCATCTAAGTAACTGTTGGTTTAGGCCTACTTCATTTAGGGATTTAGGGGTCCTCTTCATTGCAACGGATCCGAAATGCCTTTAAAAATGGTGACCGACAATTTAATCGTTCGTAAAAATGAGATCCGAATTATTTTATTCAGTTTCGAAAAATCATGATGTCTCCCAATGATAATTAAAAAAACGATTCCCAATCAATTCGATTCTAATTCTCCCCAAAACCGCCCCTGCCGCATTGCACCGATCAATGTAACGGAAAAAACGTTTCCGTTAAAATCTAATCGATAATCCATAGTGTGAAAGAACGTTCATGCATAATGTATGCACGCAACGTATATGCACACACACGTAATATGCATACGTATCTAGCGCAGTGCAGGCTGAGGTTATCTTTTTCTCTCTACGCACCGCAGTACGTCCATATCCATCCACTTAGCAACGCACTATTTCCCAAATTAGCTTAACATTATTTCGAAAATATTCGACGAATTGGGATTGAAATTTAGGACAAAACATTTCTTTCGACGTATTTATCAATATCATTGAAAGAAATTATTGTTTCTACGGGTAAATCATTCTCATTGTGGGTAGAGGGAGCGGCCATTGGCGGACGATTTACCGGTTGATGGGCAGTGACGAGGTTTAGCAACTGTTGCCTTGAGAATAAACGCCATAGCCACCGTAGTCCTGGCGACTGTAACCCGCCAACTACAAGGTAATTTTTCCTTTTTGATTCGTTGATGTGTGGATAGACTGTAGCCTGTGCGAACAAACTGTACATTCCGATACCATTTTGGGTCGAATCTTTTGCTTATTTTTGCGGGTTTGAAGGAGAAATACTGCGGGACGTTGGGCCTTGTTTTTCTCAAGCGGCGTTCCAAAATGGCGATTTTGCGCGGGCAGTTTTCTAACGTGTGCAAATTTGCAGTTTGTTCGGGTCGGGCCGCCGGGCCGGCAAGCAGTGGTACGTAACGAAACGTCCATTCTCGGCCGGGTCTTGTTTATGACTTGGATTTTCTTCGAAGTTTAAATGGTTGTTCGTATTGTTTTATTACATTGCATGGTCACATTGTTTCATTTTGTGAAGTAGCCTACGACTTGATGATCAGATTGGGATTTGTTGTAATTTGTAGTGCATTTTAAATGTGAAATTCGAGAAAAAATATGTTGATTGTCGGGGGTGTTTGATTTGTGTGTTTTGTCAACAATGACTTCGCATGCTCAGCTTAAGTTAACCTGGCTTTGTTGTATGGTTGTGTATGGATAGCCACCAGACTTGAAATGTGCAATGAAGATAAATTATGTTGCATTGTTGGAGAGTTTGCGATGCACAAATTCTGTTTGTAGCGCAAACTGTCCCAGGATGTTATGTGTTATGTACAGCATAACTTCACTACACACTTCCGAATCTGCGGTATGCCGTATGGCATCACTGCAAAAAAAGACACTAACGTTTAACGTGGTCGAAGCCAAAATATAATACTACAATTTGTTTATCTAGACTCTAGATGTTGAAATAACATCGGTGTTATGTTTGTAATATTTTGGCGATCATGAAGTGTAGGGCCCCTGTTTTGTTTTGATCAAATTAGAGTCAAAAATGTTTTTTATTGCTCAAAAATCACCTTTCATGCCTTTATTGTCAGACCCCCTAAAGCTACGCGGTCCTTTTTCTACGCACTCACCTTCAATTTCTGTGTGACGATGCGCGCGCGTATGCAAGCGTTACCTGCGCAGATAATCGAGATTCGAGGATACAATCAAAAGCAGACTTTTCTCAAATCTAATGACACTCTTTTTGCAATTTTGAACAGATTCTTGGGGTAGAAATCATGATTTTCCTGCGCGGTTTGTGCTTTGCGATTCAGCGCGCCGTGCGTGCTCATGGTACATCGCGCGGTGATCGCCATCTATATTTTCGGGTCGCATGTTGTCGCCACGCTGTCATTGTCATTTTATTCCCAAATTTCCCTCAAAAAATCAAAACCCCGCCCTCTATCTATGACATACCTGTTTATTGAGAATGTCGCCAACTAGTTTGGTAGGTCCAATAATTTTAAATTGGATTTTGTTTCCTTAAAGGAACTTGGCCCTACACTACACGATCGCCTGTATTTGATCAGAATTATAATTATCATACTTTCATAGGAATTAGATTTTTAAGAAGAGAAATCGATATGGAAAGATTTTGCTATCATACCTTGCAAACCCCCCTCCCCCCCTCCCCCCCCCCCCCCCCAGCCCAGGTTGGATTCCTCCGTTGTGTGTATAATGCGACGGAGTCCAGGGTATCCATTTCTGCTGCCATAGTGAAAATTTTTACGTTTCAAGTCTTCACACGAGTTCGTACTGAGGATGTTTACGACGAAAGCATGGATCGGCGATTTATTTTCTGTAAACACGTTGCCCACATACATATTTACTTTTTCTAAACCAAGCATCTTTGTAATTCCGGACACAAGGAATATGTAAATGAATATTCAGCTTTCTCCATCAAGTAAAAATGTTGGGGGGGGGGGAATGTAAAAAAATTCACATTGGCAGCAGAAATTGATGGACGTCAGTGGGAATGCAATGAAGATGTCCAACCTGGGCTAACCCCCCCCCCCCTCAATGGTCAGGAACAGAAAATATGAGAAAACAACTCAAAACCTACTTTGTATGTTAAGATATACATGTACATGTAAATGTATGCATGGCACAACCATAAGACTTACTTTGTGCAGATTCTGTATAAAATGACCAAAACCTGGGTGCCAAAATTAATTTTAAAGGATCCTTTTCTTTCTGAAATACATGTCAAGATTTTGATCTTTTCTTCTCCTATGAGAGCGTGTGTGAGGCTACTAAGTAAGTGACGGGATATAAATCCACTATTCGGTTTTGATTTTAGGAACTGCATTCAAAACCAACCTTCAAATTTTTTTAGCATTCCATTTTTTGGGGACACAGGCTAAAAAAGCAGTTTCATTGTTCTGCATTCACTTGCTGGTGGTCTTCTTAGGGTATGAAATGAATAGCCTGCCCATTTAACTTTCAGAGAGTTGACGCCCATTTTTCTCAACATTCACAGCTCTTGAGTGTTTTAGTAAAAGGCCCAGTGGCCATTGAATCCTGCAAACTATAGCCAGTCATTGGGAGGGCATTGCATGCAGTACCTCACTCATAACTTTTTGTTGACATGACTGTGAGCTGAATGGGAACTTCCGGTGAAATCGGATAACCGTTATACGGTTTAAAAAAATTGGGATAACCGGATTTTGAAATGTCCGATTTCTCCCACCACTAGAGGTTATACATTTTGCACACATTTTTTTTCCAGCTACTTCCTTTTAATGTTTGACTTCTCCACGTTTCCTGTTTCAAAAGCACGGTGTTTAGTACGAGGTAGTTAAAGGCAGGAAATTCATGTAGTTTGTGACTGCATTGCTACATGATATCCTCATATTGATTTACTGCCCTTGATTTTAAATGTTCACAGTTTATTTCCTTGTGAATTGTTGTCGGGTTAAGCATTTTAACTTTCTTGATGGTCATCAAATGCTTGTGTAAACTCTTTATAGGTTAAACTTGAATAAAATAACTGGTGTTCCGAGTTTATTGCACTTCAGCAATGAGCATTTGTAAAATTCATAAGTTGTTACATGTATGTATATGTTCCAGCTTTAGAATGCTCTGGTTTCATTGTTAGTGTTATTCTCAGCGATTATGTGTACAGGTATTGATTCTGCAAATCTTTACATCTCAACCAATTCCATACAGTCTGAAAATAAGAATCATAATTTCACTTTTAGTTTTTGTGAAATCAATACCCAAGTGGTAACACATCCTTTTTAACCCTAACTCCCTAGGCCTTTTTTGCTAGGGTGTAGACTCAATCCGGCAAAATCCTCCAACTGGCTTCATGGGAAAAATAGCATAGCCTCAATCCTGCAAATTCCTCCATTGTTTCTTGAATATGGTCCGTGGAGGGGTTACCACTGCCTGAATCCTGCAAAATCCTGCGACAGTGACTGTCATTAATGTTGAGGCTTGGCCAATGACATCCTGGAGCAGTGCAGAGGATTTCAAGCATAATCCAGGCCTATATTTATGCATGGCTGAGCAAAAACAACGCAATGTCTGACCCAAGACCTTGACAAAGTGCATCCTAAGAAATCAGTAACGCACTTTTGCCAGGTAAGGCCAAAAAAAAAAAGTCGGTCTCTGGTCAGCACGCACGTCGATTTTAATCATGCGCGTCAATCTTTTTTTTTTCCAAAATGTTCCGCGGTAGCTCCAACAGCGCCCTCTATTTCCGCACCTCAATTTTTTTTACCTATGAGCACCAAGGAATGGGGAAATTGCACCAAGGCAAATGATAAAGGGCACCAAAGCAAATGATGGAGGACACCAATGTATAATGAGGACACCAAAAAAGCAAAATAGTACCCCACCTTGTCTGTACAATCCAAGCTTGAAAAAAAAAAAAAAAAGCCGCGTGGCCGCGTCAATTCCGGAACTTTGGTCTGACCAGAGACCGAATATTTTTTTTTTTTGGCCTAACCTCAATCCTCCAAATGCCTCCACTTTGGCAAAGAGTATTTTGAAGGATTCAGGGCGGTTAGGGTTAATATAACCTCCCATTCAGTACTAAAGTTTAGTGTGTCATGTCCCAACCACAGAAATGGTCCCTATAGTTGGGAAGACGCTATAGGTGGGGAGAAACAGAAGTATTGTAGAGGCTTCTCCCAAAGCTTTTTGATGGGTCAGTTTGGCATCAACTCCCAAGAGGGGACCGTAAATTACACTATTGCTGAAAATAGTACTTACTCCTTGATGTAAGTAATTTCAATTCCAAAAATGTTAGATTTGTCCAATCCCAGTGCTCTACTTGTACCAGGGTTTGCCCAAAGCAAGTGCTTGCGTGCATTTGATCAGTTACTCCTGCTGCATGTTTATCAATATTCATCAAGTACAAAAGTAGGTGCCGTCTTTTATTTGTAATAGACATAAAAAGTATTTGAAATGAGAATTCCGTTTATTTATTTTATAATTTATTTATTTTCTTTGGAAGTGCTTCCTTTAGAAAAAAAAACTCTAGAGAGAACAGGAAATGCAAAATAAAAAGTAATTGTAGTGGAAAGCGATTGCATGAATTTTAAAAGAAATGACCTAACTTATTGTTCCCCTCCCCCTACAACATAAAATTTCAATGAAATGCGAGGCCTTTATAATTTCAGTGACTGCCTTCAAAAAGTGTGTCTCCTTCCCCCTTTTCCCCTTGAACTGATACAATCTCTGCAGTACTAAAATAATGGGTTTTTTTCCTTCAAAGGTAGAGTACATCATTTGTCAATTGTGCATTTGTTTCTAAAGACGGGTGCTTAAACAACTATTCCTGATGAAGTTTTAGCTCTGTGAATACTATACATTCCGAGAAAACAATATTTTAGGATCTTGATTTCAATTCAAAAGTTGCCGCGTCATGTTTTGAATTGCACCCGAAATCAGCATCCGGGACGCATTCTCATTCAGCCGATTGCAGCTACGCGATGTGCACTGAACTGACAAATAATAGCAACCGCGCACGGGCGTGCGTCGCGTCACAGTGCGTGCGTGCACCCATTCACAGATTCGCTGAATTACAAGCCAACCACTAACTGAAATTCTAAAAAATGTGTCACTTGATGCATCTTTGGAAATGGCCTTCTTTTACTGTTTTTTTTTCTTCAA